GAGAGAGAGAGAGAGAGAGAGAGAGAGAGAGAGAGCGAGAGAGAGAGAGAGCGAGAGAGAGAGAAAACAATGCAGCAAGGACGGACGAATACAGGCAGGCAGGCACGGACCACAGCAGGACAGGCAGGCACGTGCTGCCAGCCTGCCACCATGCTACTATCGCCAACACCACCGCCGCTGCCGCACTCACGTCGCGTCGCCGCAGCCTCAACAACATCGCACATGCTCAGACGCATGCTGCGTGCGACGACGTCGCCGCGGCAACCGCGCCGGCCGCCGTCCGATTGCTCCTCGGTCACCGCGCCGACGCGTGACGTCACACCACCGCGAAGCCAGCAGGGAGGTGGGAGAGGGGGAAGGGAAGGAGGGAGGAGAAGGGAGGAGGGGGAGGGGGAAGAGAGAAGGAAGGAGGGGGGAGCCTCCATGCTAGAGTAGGTGTCTCGGTGTGCGTATGAACGCGGCTACGTACTTGCTATCTGCACCGTGAGGTACTCGGCTTGTGCACGTGTGCGTGCGTGCGTGCGTGTACGTGTGCGTGGGTGTGCGTGGGCGCCTGAGTGCGTGCATGCGTGCGTGTACGTGCGTGCGTGTGTGTACGTGTGCGTGGGCGTGCGTGCGTGAGCTCGCTGTAAGCGTGTGATGCCGACCCCTCCCTCCTAATGTGTGACGCGGCAGCGACGGTGACGCACGGCTCGGGGTAACGACCTGTCACCCAGCATGGTAGCCGCCCAGGTGACATGGTGACGAAGTGACACACTTACAGTTGACACGTGACACGACAAGGGTATTTGACAAACGACACAGGCATGGTTGACACGTGACACGACACGGGTAGTTGACAGATGACACAGGCATGGTTGACACATGACACGACAAGGGTATTTGACAAATGACACAGGCATGGTTGACACGTGACACGACAAGGGTATTTGACAGATGACACAGGAATGGTTGACACACGACATGACACGGGTAGTTGACAGATGACACAGGCATGGTTGACACACGACATGACACGGGTAGTTGACAGATGACACTGGCATGGTTGACACACGACATGACACAGGCATGATTGACACAGGCATGGTTGACACGGGTAGTTGACAGATGACACAGACATGCTTGACACGTGACACGACAAGGGTAGTTGACAGATGACACAGGCATGGTTGACACACGACATGACACGGGTAGTTGACAGATGACACTGGCATGGTTGACGCGTGACACAACACGTGTATTAAACAAATGACACAGGCATGGTTGACATGTGACGCGACACAGGCAGTTGACAAATGACACAGGCACGGTTGACGCACAACGTGACACGGACAGGTCACACACGTAGGGTTGATGCCGTAACATGACACGGATAGTTGACAGGCGACACAGGCAGGCTTGCGGTGAGCGCGTGCGCGTCACCCGCGTCTCCATGACGACGATCACATACAGAGCAATCAGAACCGCCGCCGCCGCGTTTATGTCTCCCTGCCGGCAGATGCCCCGCCATCGACCTTCCCCCTCCCCAGAGGAACACCTCTCCGGCGATGTCTCCTCTCCGTGGTTCAATGGCCACGCTGCGCTATGCTGACCGACCAGCTTAGCTAGCGCGCGAAAGCCGCCTCCGCTACGCACTGCCACTGACTACTACATCGTTCATGCGCCTTCAAGATGCTTGCCGAGTGCTCCGGGGGGTGGTTGTCGGGGGTTGTTGACACTATGGGTGAGGGGAGAGCAAGACGAGACAAGGCGACAGCCGCCAAGCGGGAGGGAAGGGGAGGCGTCTTCACGCCGGCTACAGAGCCTGCCAAGCTACGACAATTCGCCGGGACAACGCAAGCTACGACAATTCGCCGGGACAACGCAAGCTACGACGATTCGTCAGCCGCCGCGACAACGCAAGCTCGTTACTAGCGCCATCTCGTGGCGACAGCTGCGGGAGAGAGGGGGGGGGGGCACGTCGTATTGCCGCCGATCAAAGCACTAGGACAGAGACGCGGCGGCGCATGCAAGCTCCAGATACCTCATCTCTAGTCGCCACTTACAGCTCCATAGGTCTAACGTCCGAAAGAAAAGAAAGAAAAAAAGTTGTTTACGTTGCGCGCGAGCGCATCGCCATGGCAACGATCCCTCCCGCCCACCCCCGACAACTAGCGCCCTCCACTGGCGACGGGTCGTCGGGAGAATCCCCGCCGCTGCCAGCGCCACCTGGCGAGTGTCATCTACCCACGGTCGTCGTGTCGCGCACACTAGTGCATTTCTCGAGCGAACAATTCGACGAGCTAATACGGAGGATAGAAAAAGAGGAAATGATTTCACACTAGGGGGGGGGGGTAGGGATGGGAACGGAGAGGGGAGGGGAGGGGAGAGGGTCTTGTCATCTTTCTTCATCATTCCCATCTTGCAGCCGTTCCTCGTTCGCGACGACCTGCAGGCCGACACTTTGAATCGTCGACCACGCCCGCCACGCAACCTCATGACACGGGATCTTCGGATGCTGGGGAATGAATCTGTCACGGTCGGGGGTGGGATGGGATCTTCGGATGCTGGGGAATGAATCTGTCACGGTCGGGGGTGGGATGGGATCTTCGGATGCTCCACCCCCGACCGTGACTAATTCATTCCCCAGCATCCGAAGATCCCATCCCACCCCCGACCGTGACGGATTCATTCCCCATTGCAGAGATGGATAGCGACGAGACGATGGGGAGGGGACGAGGCATATTAAACCACGTACCCAGCTTCCGACCTGCAGAGCGTCCGGAGTTCCGGTGGGCACGGGCATCATGGGAACGTGGTACTGCATCGGTGTGTACGGATGCTGGCTCTGCATGTACTGCAAGACAAGAGAGGAGAGAGCGACAACCGTTAGAACCTGCATGCGATCTCATGATCTAATATCTCTCGTGACCTAATGATCTAATAATCGAATGATCTAAAGATCTAATAATCGAATGATCTAAAGATCTAATAATCGAATGATCTAAAGATCTAATAATCGAATGATCTAAAGTTCTATAGATCTCATGATCTAATAACGTCGCGATGCTTCAAACATTTGTGCGCGCGCGTCTCGTTCGCACACGTTCGTTTTAGTTCTCATGCCCAGCAATGTACTGGAACACTGAGAGACCGAGTCACACGATCACGAGCAACAGGTAAACAATAATCGCCGCCCGTGATTCGCCGCGACACTCGCCCTCCTCGCCAGGGGGCGCTGTGACTCACCGAGCCGGTGTTGCTCATCTGCAGCTGGCCCATCTGTGCGGTGAGCTGCGGCATGAGACCGCCGTGCAGGTGTGACGCGCTGTTCGGATCCATGCCGGACATGCCTGACGCCATCACCTGTTGCTGCGGCGACCGAATAAACAACAAACAAGCTTAGAGCGTGGCTCTACCTGGTGCCATTACTTGACACTCGTTACCGATTCGTCACTGACGATCACTCTACACTACACTGACTATTTTGATACTTAATATTATATTAATTAAACTTAATGACAATTGACTGATACACAATTACACTACATTACACGGACTACTACTTTGATACTTGATATCATAATTATTAAACTTAATGACAATTGACTGAATATACTACACTACACCGACTATTACTTTGATGCTTGATATCATAATTATTAAACTTAATGAAAATCGACTGAATATACAGTTACTACATAGTAATTCAGGTGTTTCGATACTCAAAGTTAGAATCGGTGAGAACACAAGGTGGTGCCACCGTCCCGCCACATAAAACAACCCGTCAGACCACGAGGCGGCCAATCAGCTACGAGCGCAAGTTTACGGTTTTCGGAGCAATCTTGTCGCCGTTAAACGAGGGGATAGGTAACGTCGAGGGCGGTGCGTCATCGCGTCGGTGAAGCTTACGTATGCCTGCGGCTGCATCCAGGTGCCTCCAGCCTGCACGGGGTAGGACGTGACAGGAGTCGGTGCAAGCGAGTAGCGTGACATGATGCCACCTGCAAATGCGCAATAGATACACGTGAGACAAGCACATATATGTGAGACAAGCACATATATGTGAGACCAGCACATATACATGGACAGAGGGAGTGTATGAATGTATAAGTTCTGATACTTCAGTACACGCACGGACGCACACATGTCATATGAACACACGCGCACGCACGCACTCATGTCATATGTACATACACACGTCATATGAATATACACGCACACACGTGCACACGTCATATGAGCATACACACGCGCACACACGCACTCATGTCATATGGTCATACACGCACGCACACGCATACGCATCATATGAACATAAACGCACACGCATCACAAGAACGTACAAACGTGTGGCCTGCTTACTGCTGCCACACACAATGATACAATGTACCCCTCAATTACCAGTTCCCTCCCTTCCTTCCTCTACGCCTCCTTTCCACCCACCACCCACCCTCCCTACATTTCCCTTCACTTCCTTTTTTGTTCACCCCCTCCATCCCATCTGATTCTTCAGATAATCCCTACTGTCCCTTCCTTCTCCTTCTTTGCTTTATCCCCTCCGCCCCTCTCCTTGTCCCCACCTTCCCCTCTGCTCCCCCCCTTCATCCCCTCTGCTCCCTCCTTCCCTCTCGTCTTCCCTTCCTCCCTGCCTCCTCCCCTCCTCCCTCACTCACCGGACTGCAGTTGCATTGAGGCGAGTCCGTTCTGGTGCACCTCTCCGTACTGCGGCTGGTATCCGAGCCCGTCATCTCTCCACCTGTTGCTCTCCTTGTTGTACGCTGGCTTCTTGGACTTGCCGTCGGCAAACTTGACGAGCAGCGGCTCAATTCCCCCTGAGAGCAAAACGCCGGTCAGTGAGCGTAGATGCGATCGTAGGTCAGCGTGACGGAAGGTCAGTCAGTAAGCACACAAGCAGCACGGACACACTAACTAAATGACAACACTGAAGGCGCGTGACGTATAACTGAATGACAACACTGAATGCACGTGACGTATAACTGAATGACAATGCTGAAGGCGCGTGACGTATAACTGAATGACAACGCTGAAGGCGCGTGACGTATAACTGAATGACAACGCTGAAGGCGCGTGACGTATAACTGAATGACAACACTGAAGGCACGTGACGTATAACTGAATGACAACGCTGAAGGCGCGTGACGTATAACTGAATGACAACACTGAAGGCGCGTGACGTATAACTGAATGACAACACTGAAGGCGCGTGACGTATAACTGAATGACAACACTGAAGGCGCGTGACGTATAACTGAATGACAACACTGAAGGCGCGTGACGTATAACTGAATGACAACACTGAAGGCGCTAACGTGAAGTCTGTGAGGACAGGCGACGAATCGGACGCTAAGCGAGATGCGCAGAGATGCGACCGAACAACGACGGCCACGGTGACTAACGAGGGGTTACCTTGTATGCTCTTGCCGTGGAAGGCAGCGACTGCCTGCTCACACTTCTCCTTGCTCTCCAGCCTGCAAAACAACGACGGCAGATCAGTACTAATACCGCCAATAGGTGGCAGCACGTGTCAGCATCACTGGGAAATCATCGTGGAAGTGGCTGAGTGCACCGAGCGATTCATGCATCTATCGGGCACTGTAACCAACATGGAGCTTCTATCCCCCGTGCTGCTCCCATTCTCACAGCTTTGTGCCACTAGCCACACTGTTCCCTGACACGCACAGGTCTGGGCATGAAATTCAGATTTTTTTGCACCGGCCCAGAAGGCTGGTAACAGCAGTTTGTTTACCAGCCCTCGCCATAATTTACCAGCCCTCACAGAAAAATAAAGATAAGACTGTTTCACCGACGCTTGCTTGTCCGGACTATAATGCAGATTGTGAATGATGTCCGAAGTGTTTTTGTCAATGTCATGTCTCACGCTTGCATTCTCGATTTCAAATTTGTCAAATCTTGATAAACTGTGGTGTGATATCCTATCTTTCAGGTAAAACAGTAATGTAGGCTATTTGCTCATTAATGCTATAAATAAAAATGTAGGTACTCGCTAACACGGCCGGTGTTTTGCCAATGTTACCGGCCCTCCAAATAATTTTCCGGCATATGACGGTGGGCTGGTGCTAATTTTGCGCCCTGCAGGTGACCTGGTCCACTCGTCATTGGGGCATAATGTGTGCATGTCCTGTTAGAGTTGTGTAGGATGCGGGTCGCCCCGATGGGGCAGGAAGGGGAGTTGCAGGAAGCAGAGAAGAAATTTGTGGAGGCAGATGAGGAGGAGTAGGAGAAGAAGGAGTAGCTGTCGTCATCATTGTCGGAGGAGGATGAGGAAGAGGAGAGGGATGAGGAGGAGGAGGAGAAAAAGAATAAGGAGGAGTAGGAGCAGGCAGAGAAGAAATTTGTGGAGGCAGATGAGGAGGAGTAGGAGAAGAAGGAGTAGCTGTCGTCATCATTGCCGGAGGAGGATGAGGAAGAGGAGAGGGATGAGGAGGAGGAGGAGAAAAAGAATAAGGAGGAGTAGGAGCAGGCAGAGAAGAAATTCGCAGAGGCAGATAAGATAAGGAGGATGAGGT